ATAACAAATTGAAAACTTAATATTTCACTGTGAAACTTTGGGGACCTTTGTATCTCTAGTGGAGGGTGCCTCATGAATATTTTGAGTATTTATTATGAATTATGGGGTGCACCACACAGCCAGGAATAGTGTGCACAGCAGGGTTTGATGCGCTTTGCCAAATTTGGCAATATTGTGATGCCTGCACATCCGTGCATAATTCCGGCTCCCCCTCGCATTATTTCGCTTAGCTTTGGCTGAGCGAAATGTTGGGTACATTGATACCTTGATGTAGACCCATTGATCGTGTGAAACAGGTAAGAACTCGTTGAGATATGGCGAACGCGATTTTGGCTACTATAATGCATGGTGCACCCATGCATCCTCAGGCACATCTAGGGCCATTTGACTCAGCCAAAAATCATGGAATACATGTCTGAGAATAATAGTACCATTGACAATGCCAGGGGGTGTCTGGGTGTAGTAGATCTGAGGGGGGGTATAGGTACACCAGGAGACCCACTCCAGATACCCCACTAAACATACCTCTGAAAGTCTGAAAGCTGGTACGTGGATAATACATATTTATTCATGAATTTAACATATTTTATCATAATTTTATATTGCCTGGAAGTTGGGTTATTGACTGATTTCACACGAGCTAAGATATGCTATTGATATCCAGGATGTGAGATATTGGCACATGTAAAATCATGATAAATGACGATAAATGTATAGAAACAGAACGAGGTACTTGTGAGGGCAAGTGGATAATTCTGTGTAACGTTATCAAAGGGAGAAGGAGGAGGTAGTCCCCCACATCAGTATCTATGTAAATACCTACCAAATCTGCATATCGCACTCATTCAATGGTGCGTTCGGGTCAGGAGCATTACCCTTAGCATATTTCAGTAGTGCCGGATGAGGTTCTGATGTCTGGGGGAAATGGTATTAGAGAAAGAGCTGAAAATGCACGAAAAACATGAAAATGTTTAAAATGAGTACCTTGGACTTGTTCAAAAATTACCAAACTTTGTTTATGAGGAGCTATTAGCACTCTGAAGAGATTGCAAAAGACTGGAAGAGATTCAGAGCAGTAGGTGCAAAGATATGCAAAATGAACTCCCAAAGCACCAGATTCAACACAAAGTTATAATAGGAAGGTGATGCCATTGCTGTCATTGTGATACCCTTTTGCATATCTTTGCACCTACTGCTCTGAATCTCTTCCAGTCTTTTGCAATCTCTTCAGAGTGCTAATAGCTCCTCATAAACAAAGTTTGGTAATTTTTGAACAAGTCCAAGGTACTCATTTTAAACATTTTCATGTTTTTCGTGCATTTTCAGCTCTTTCTCTAATACCATTTCCCCCAGACATCAGAACCTCATCCGGCACTACTGAAATATGCTAAGGGTAATGCTCCTGACCCGAACGCACCATTGAATGAGTGCGATATGCAGATTTGGTAGGTATTTACATAGATACTGATGTGGGGGACTACCTCCTCCTTCTCCCTTTGATAACGTTACACAGAATTATCCACTTGCCCTCACAAGTACCTCGTTCTGTTTCTATACATTTATCGTCATTTATCATGATTTTACATGTGCCAATATCTCACATCCTGGATATCAATAGCATATCTTAGCTCGTGTGAAATCGGTCAATAACCCAACTTCCAGGCAATATAAAATTATGATAAAATATGTTAAATTCATGAATAAATATGTATTATCCACGTACCAGCTTTCAGACTTTCAGAGGTATGTTTAGTGGGGTATCTGGAGTGGGTCTCCTGGTGTACCTATACCCCCCCTCAGATCTACTACACCCAGACACCCCCTGGCATTGTCAATGGTACTATTATTCTCAGACATGTATTCCATGATTTTTGGCTGAGTCAAATGGCCCTAGATGTGCCTGAGGATGCATGGGTGCACCATGCATTATAGTAGCCAAAATCGCGTTCGCCATATCTCAACGAGTTCTTACCTGTTTCACACGATCAATGGGTCTACATCAAGGTATCAATGTACCCAACATTTCGCTCAGCCAAAGCTAAGCGAAATAATGCGAGGGGGAGCCGGAATTATGCACGGATGTGCAGGCATCACAATATTGCCAAATTTGGCAAAGCGCATCAAACCCTGCTGTGCACACTATTCCTGGCTGTGTGGTGCACCCCATAATTCATAATAAATACTCAAAATATTCATGAGGCACCCTCCACTAGAGATACAAAGGTCCCCAAAGTTTCACAGTGAAATATTAAGTTTTCAATTTGTTATTCAATTGTTTTGTATTAAAAATGCAAAAGACTCTGGATTTTTCGTGTTTTTGGCTCCCCCAGCCCATCCCGCACCCTGTGGGGGCCATGACAATTATTAGCATGCATAATAGGCCCTGCCCAGTCCATTTTTAGGCCCCCACCGCACCCAGAACCCACCCTGCCATCCCACTAGCCCCTATCATGCATCCCCCACCATCCCTGCCTGTTTCGGATGGATTTCCCATGCCCCCCTCCCGCCCCCCACAGGCCTACCCTACCCCTGCCCCATCCCCGGGAGGGTTGTTTGGTCATTTATTTACCCCCTCCTGCCCCCAAACAAATCCCTATAGCCCCAGCATCCCTGGCAAACTCACCCCAGCAGCCTCGGAAAACCTGACTGCTTAATCACAGTCCTGATCTATGAGTTCACACTGGCTAAACACAGGGTTTGATACATGTATCTGGCTGATAGAAGTGAACGCACCTGCCAAAAAAGAACCAGGTCAAAGTTGGCGATCTTGTTGAGGTTAGTGATGAGCAGACTTGCAACCCATCGAGCATACTCGTCTTCAATGGCGGCTAGATCCCTTTGAAGGAGTTCTTCTTCAGACTCGGTAGACGCTGATGGGGAAGCTTGTGCCGCAGATCCTGTGGACACCACGTCTACGCCAAGATCTTCATTGGAACATTCGCGATGAAGGCTTGTGAGCATTTCGACGTGTTGGGCCTGGGTGCAAGCTCCCTGGGATGGAATCGTTATTGTCCTTCTGCCAGCAGATGTAGGGAAATCAGAGTTTCCACTGGCTGAGCGAGACATCCTGATAGCATGTTGGTGCTCGAGCATCTGACCCACTCGTTAGATAACAAGCTAAAAATAGGCACTGAGAGAAGTACTTACTGCCTTCTTGATGGACTTTTCTGTGGCTTCGAATTCACCAGGAGCCCATTTGACTGCACCAACTTGACACAGCTTGATCTGAGGGTTTATGACTATAGAAAACCGTCTGTAAACATGCTGAATTGAAAAGTGGCCATGAAACTTACACATCACGAGGAAATACATATTTGTGGACCTTGCCTTTTTGTGTACTCTTCAATCTTTGAGATCGACATGGAGACAATGTGCGCAAGGCAAGGGAATTTCTGTCTGCGCTTTTCCAGCATGGTGATCAGCTTCTCGTATGTAGGAATCACGATGGACAATGTCGGTGTCTTGTCTGTAGATATGATTTGCTGTGTGATATAAAAAGCCATGAGGAATTCCCAGATATCCATGAGAACCTGGAGTTCAAGGTCTGTAAGCAGATTGTCGGCAAGTTCCTTGTGCTCGGGGCGTTTCAGAAGAAGTCATACCACCTGAGAGATTCAAATAAGAACAAATTAATTTGTCTGAAGAGATTGGAAGCAGAGCTCACTGGATAATTGACAAACAGTCGATCAATCATAGTAAAGATTGAAGACCATCAGGTATCGACATCATGTAAGAGTGTCAGTTCCTTGAGTTTGAAGATGCCGTCCTTATTTCCCTGGCGAATAACGTCTATCAAGCCTTCACAACGTTGCCTGGAAGCTCTGCACACTCTGACAAGCTTTTGGGCCGACGCAACAACATCCGACCTCAGTACCTCTTGGTACTCAAGATCCTCCGGATTCTCGTACGAGGGGATCGGTGGGAAGCTCTCGTCGAGAAGCTTATCATCACCTATCTTGGAGTCTGATGTAGTGGGTACTGTGGTCATATGTTTCAAAGCTGTCTTTGTGGCGATATTTATAACATGAGGGAAGCATCTTAATATTCTCATTAGCACCAGCCAAGGAAATCAGGAACTCGCTGCTCACCTTATGCGATTTCCAGTAGCACTGAATGGGATACCTCATGCACGGAGACGAGTTTCGAGCCCTTTCATCATGGTGTCATTATTCCCTGCATTATTGAGGGTGATCATTCCAATCTAATATCAGTGATGTCAGTTCTAAATTTGAATCGGGAGTGAGAATAGAACTTACACAATCGAGGCCAGAAACCTCCTGGAGTACATGGAAGAAGACATCTGCAAGATTCTTGCCGTCATGACTGCCTTCAAGATGATGAAATGTGATGAGGCGATTGCGGAGCACCAGGTGACCTTCAGGCGTGATGTACATGTAATGGGCAGTGATAGCAAGGAAGCTAGATAGATCGTTGTGTGACCAAGCATCAGCCGTGTAGGAAACACGCCCTGCTGCATCCTGTAAACAGCAAAATAAATCCGGTATCCAAAGAAGAAAGGGCTGAGAAGTCTCACCTTGATTTCAAGGAGAACTTTCCCGTACTCCTTGAAAAAGTGCTGAATTATTAAATTCATGAGAGTTGAGCGATGGGGAATGTCATCATCCATGAGCTCGTAGCTGATGTAGGTCAAAAGATTGTGAAGTTCTCGTGAGTCGATGACATTGATTGACTGAAAATGCATCCGTGGTGAGAGAATAGCTCATATAGAGTAAGGAAGTAGCTTACCTGGTCATCGACAATGATCCATCTGATAAGGCACTTGTAGAAGCCTTCCAATGTAAATTCCTCATGGGCACCTCCAGTCCAAGAAGGATTAGTGCCCGCCAGTACTTCACCACGTGCAAGTTTCTTCCATCCTCGGAGATGCTGGGCAATCACCATCTCACGCCATGTCTCCCAGTGGTGTTTCACAAGGTGCGCCTTTATGTTCTCAGTTTGACTGTGGCAGTTCTGCCATACATGCCAATCCCATCCACTTAACAAATAAATCAGATTGTAATGCATTGGGAATCATTTAAATGGACTTACGTGCAGAGACAACAAGCAAGAAATGGAGTATCCTTGGCAGGAGGTCATTGAAGGTAGAGCTCTGATTTTGGTGGGCTACTGTGAGCACCTTTCTTGTCTTGGGATGCTGCAGGCTTCATGAACCACCAAATTTCCGAGGCTGCTCGTGTATCCTTCTTGTCATGGGAAAGGAGAGAGTTGAAGGCCATAAAAGAAGGATGTTGTACTTGCTCCGTGTTGAGATGCTGAACAAATGGACCCGATGCGTGAATGTCCTGAGGATCAGCATGAGGAAGGGCCCTTGGGATCGTCAAAGCTGTTCCTGATGGTGGAACAGCAGTGTTCTCAGTGTTCGCCCATCGAGTCCGCTTCAGTGCACTAGTGGCTGGATGGGCCAGAGCACTGCACTTCCAGGTTGATGCTGCAGGTTCTGTGACTTGAGATCTATTCTGCGAGGTAGACTGTAGGGGAGGACGTGTGTTTGGAGGGGAACCAGCAAAGGAATTGATGAATTGAATCTGAGAAGTGGCTGGAGGATGCTGAAGAACAGGCTGTGGGTGTTGTGGGTGCAGGTATTGGGGATAGGGTGTGTGCGAGAGGTGCGACGCTGGATACTGGTAGTAGAATCCATGAGGGTGATTGTGGGGGTAGTAGGGATGAGTCCCAGATGATGAGTGTTGATGTGGGGCACTCATTTCTGCTGAGCCACCAATTCTGCTTTTTGGTCTTTTATCTTCATTCGGTTCAGCACAGCTGCTGTGCAGAAATATTAGCTGCTCCCTGTTGCTACAACATCTCATTTTCTTTGCCTTGGAAACTCTCATGGTTGAGCTGCTGGGGACCCACTGAGGCAACTGTGCATTGGCATTTGCAGCTTTGGGGCTTGTTTATTGCAAAAATAAATTGCAGACAATATTGGTATCATGGCTACCATGTGCCAAGAACATTCAACGGCAATTCCGTGCCCCAAACACCTCAAGGAATTGCAGAAAACAACTGAAAACTGGCTTTCCAGCGTGCATGAGCGTCTAATGAGCCCCTTATCAGGCATGACATCATTGTGCACCCAAAAGGGAAATGCGCCTTAAGTTCAGCTGAAGCTGATCAAGCTTAAGGGACCTTAAGCTCCTATATGTGGTTAGACCCAAACTTAAGCCCCCTTAAGGTTGAAGCAGCTCCCGCTCCTAGCAACACTACATGTCATACATGTGTCCCCCTCCCAATCCAGCCTATTCCTGCCCCCTGTCAGTGGGGGAAATGGTCGGGGAATGTGCAGAATAATGAGGAGACCCCATATCCGCTTTTTCCCTGCCCAAAATGGTGCCAAATGCCCCGAGAACAAGGGCAAACAGTGTCCAGGCACTGTTTCCTGCATTGTTTGGCTATGTTGACATGTCCTGCACACATGGAGCAGCCCCGGGAGCCACAGAAACCCTTCCACATTGTCTCGGGCTAGGGGGGACTGCATTATGGCAGTCAGGACTGATCCCGTTGCACTGCTTAGACACAGTATTTGATATAGAATTCTAGCTGACATGGCTGACATTGTTGGATGCAGCAGGGCCCAAATCCAGTAGACGGTGCCCCATGTACCCGGCTATATGAGGCCTGCACTCTTGCACGAGGTACATGGTGTCCAAGATACCGGAGGTGGCTGTCAATCATTCAGTGTCCAAACAACGGAAATGCCTCTAGGATGGAGGCTATGATCTGGTCAAGCTCTGGGTCATCGATGTCAGATACGGCCCTTGTTGAGGAACGATAAATCCGGGTGATAGTTCCATTGGCATGCTCATACTCCACATAAACTGGTGGTCCAGGTTCAACAATCCTGAGCTCAAGTGCTCTGTGTTGGATAGTCATGGGGGCACAATTGAAGACAGCAGCAAGAGATGTCGGACCACCCTCCAGGTTGACAGCCATTCGAAGAAGATCGGGGTCGATGTCAACACAGGGGTGTCCAGGTTGTCCAGTATAGACTCGTTGGGACGCGGCCACAGGTGGCATATCCGGTACATCATTAGATGTCTGGCTTGCATTGTCGAGAGACAAAACCATGAGTTGAATGCCCTCCTCAATGATCCAATATTCTTCTGGTGGGATATTTCTTGTATGCTAAAACATCATCAATTTCAAAGAAATAAGAGCTGGCAAGGACATACCTGTTGAACAAGCTGCAAGAGATTCAGGCACTCTCGCTTGCATTCCCCAAGGCAGGCAGCATCGCCAAGCTGGGTGCATAAATCACTGTTGACAAGATGGCCCAGTTCCGCATAGGCATATCGGATGGTATCGAGGGGGATGGGGATGTTGGGTGCCAGTTGCATGGGTAGCTGCCAGTTTCAGGACAGGCATGAGAGAGGTTTTATATGCTGTATTCAAGGATGTATGTATACAGGGGTTTATGGGATATGAATGGTATGCTCCGCCTTCTAGTAAAGAGAAGAGGTCGTATGTCAGTTAAATGAATGCAAGGGTTCAATGAGTATTTAACCTACCTTCCCCTACAGGCTCCCAGAGCACTCTAACCGTCACAAGCAACACCCCTGAACACAAGGAAAGGAGTGCACCTCCTGAGCCTGCCAGCAGAGTTGGTGATACGGTCGCCTCATTGGGCAAGTTAGCATGCCATAGATATGAACAGGCCATGGATACTTACCTCAGAGTGTCCAACTGTGCCCTCCTCTCTCCAATAGGGCTATCGTTCATCTACAGGTTTCTCCTGAATCAGTCCTGTGACAGCCGCGGGCTTATGTCTTTGTGTAAAAGAGTGCATATCCCCTCATGATAAGCAAAGTGTAGCATCTGTGTTTGATAGGGATGTCGGGTGTTTGTCCTCTGGAAATGTGTATTTGTTTAGTGTGACCATATCTCATGAGCAGACCGAGAGTCAAAGGTTTTTCAAAGGGTGGAGTTTGTAGGGAATGGTGGCGATCAGCAACAACAATCGCAAGTGTGTCTTGGACAGGTGGGTGTTTCTTCATAGGTGGCCATGAAGATGTCAATGCGAAAGTAACTGACCATGATGGCGAGCGAGCCACGTATGCTGGTGAAGGATGACGACAGCTGGCTCATCTCAGCGAGCAAAGGATGGGAGGTGCTGGAGCTGACATGCTGTCAACGAATAGCAAGAGTGAAAAAGAAAACTTACAAACGAGGTGAGAATATGGGGCCACAGAACATTGTTGTGAGAATCAATTATAATAAAGTTGCAAGTTGGTTTGGAATGGTCACATGACCTTTTTGAAATCAGAATGGGACAAACATTTGAGGATGCACTAAAATCAGATTCAACAGCCCTTTCCCATAAAATTTCTTACAAAAAATGTTGTACAGCTTTTGTCCAGTCCCAGCCGCCATATGAGACTGATAAAAACTGTAATATTATAATGAAAGGACTTGTAACCAGAAGGAAATGGGAAAGAAAAGGAAGAGACACTACTGAACTTGAAGTACTGAACCACTGTCACTGCACTTTCCAACACGAACCAACACTTCCAGCTATCCTTTCTCATCCATTTATCACAAAATCAAAATTTTGCAGGAAGGTGCAATATGGTATACAAAATGATTCAAAAGAGGAAGAAGGAAAGCACGCATTTTCTGCTTGATCAACTTCCTCATATGCAGTTTCGATGGTAAAAGAACTTCAAATACAATGCTAGATTCGGTTGGGAGGCTCTGCAGGACACGATGGAACTTTTGAGGTGCAGTTGAAAAACACAATCCATATCATTGCTGGCCTTTCATCATCACTACAAAAAGAGCAATGACTGGAAACATTTGCCAATCTTACACTGCAGGCATTTGCACATATAATCAACAGTGATATTTTGATTTTACGCCGATTCTATTTGAAATTTAGTCCCAGTCACTTCGCCAAGAAAATCTCGATGGGATTTGAAATAAGATCTGTGATATCGACTGTATTTTCTGCAGCACTTTTATTTCAAATGTCACCTTGGCGCCACTTGTGGATTTTATTTCAAAAGTTGACAGGCAGATGTCATTAATTTTCCCCAGTAAGGTTTTTCACCGAAAGACAGAGCTCGATCCAGCAATTTGATTGGTCAATTCTACCCAATTTTTGGTTGTTCCACCCCAAAACAATAGTCTTGAGGACCTGTGACCACCGTAAAAGGAGCTTTTCCTATCTCTGGGTACTTGGACTCTTCACCATCTCCTCGACGAGAACATGAGGATAGAATTTGATATAATTGCGGTGTCTAAAAGGCAGATTTTCTTGCATACTGTGAGCTCGAAGAATTTTGAAATTTAGCAACCGCTTTTGGGGATAATGTTATTTCTAATTTGAGATTGCAATTTCGACACCGCTTTTATGCGCAAATGCCCGTAGTGTTACTTACCGAATTAGGCTCACCTGGTTCTAAATCTGGACATCTCCGTACAATGTCCTCAGGCTGTTCCTTCTTCACCTGAGTGAGTCGAGGGCCTTCTACTGCACCGATGGAATTTGAATGCATTGTCACTAGAGTGTATAACCTGTTCCGTTCCCAAGAAGGGACATAATCTTGTGCCTGAAAATATCACTGTACATGCAGCCGAATAATCACTGCCCGCGTTGAAAGAATATAAAGGGTCTGTATGCTCGCCCACCACCTTGGTCAAGTGACCCAAGTGGCAATAGACATTGACGATGTCAAATGGATCTGGTCCACACTTCCTTCCCTCTGACCCAAGTGGCGAGGACGACTCCCTGCCTATCGAAGACAGTGAAATCAGCATGGGCCTGTGGTCGGAGAGTACCCTTCTTGTTCTCGATCCCCAAGCATCTATGAGCCATCTTATCGGTGACTTTCTCAGTCTCGAGCGGATGGGACGTACTTGGCCGGGTTATAAGTAGCACATTTAATCGCCTCTCCGAGCGAGCATCCCGTAAACATTGAAAAGTTTCGAACACATTTGTCGAGAGTGACAACACTGAGGGATCACAACGGAAAGAATCAGCCTGAGACACAAGACGCGAGCCGCAAAGACGACATCGACACCCACCTTCCCGCCAGTGTTGTAGTTCCTTCGAGGTAGAGTCTCTCTCCTTCCTTAATGAAACGTTTCCCATCTCTCCATTCATGTACGCCATCTTTGAGGTGAGGATCCAATATTTTCATGGCTATGAAGCTTCAATGAGCTGGCTTGCTGCGTCAACCATCCGCCAAAAGGGCCTTACCATCCGTGATAAGAATACAGCCGTCTGGGTGAGACGAGTACGCCAACTAGGAGTGTCAGAAACTCGTCAAGTATGAAACGACAAAAGGAAGTCATGTAGACCATACCCTAACTGAGTTGGGATGGCAGTGGATTCCGTCAACAATGATTCCGTAGAACGGACGCTCAAAGGACATGTCTGCTATCTGACCCTTCTCCAGGTGCAGGCTTGGCCTGCTTTGGTGTTTGGATGGTGTCTTGGGCGTATTTATCCCGCTCCAAGAGAGTTCCTTTCGATTAGGCGAAGGACTGGATAGCTCGAACACCGGAGACGCCACCCCAGGAAGCTCCAAAGGTAGCATCTCCAAGAGGTTGCATGGAAGATGAACACTGATGGGTATCGGGGAGGCAAGATGTGGAGACGCTCCTAACAGGCCTATGATAGAAGGGTCACGATGATGTAGTTGCGGCATAGCGTTGAAAAGGTGAGTGATGAGCCTCGCTCCGTGTTGTATCGCCGACGTGGCTACGTCAGTACTTGCAACACTGAATTGGAAGCTTCAGAAGCTAGTATATCAGAAAAAAAGTAGACCAACCTGTGGCCGATGGAGAAGATAATGCCTCTTTTCACAGACTCTTCCAATGCGTTCATTACGCCTGGCACCTCTGGAGCCGCAGTGATCATGCGCACAGCTGGATTACTATCTCTTGACATGATCCAGTCCTCTCCTTCAGTCAGATTGACGGCACCGTAAACCTCTTCAAACGCCTTAAAGCCATCAGTAGCGGGGAGCAGGTACGCTGGAGCATGAGCTCCTCGTTTTGTTAGCTCGATGAATGGACCTTCGGCATGCCATCCTAAGAATGTGGCGGATGTTGGAGTAGAAAACGGTTTGAGAAGGCCCAGTAACTTCGGGTAGATAGATTTCTCCTGTGTCTGTTAAGGAATCCGGTGAGTAAATGGAGGGGAGAAATGGAGGAGGTTGAAACGGACGATGACAGTTGGCAAAAGCCTGGGATCTTATCAGGACTTAGTTCACGCATATATGTGCTTGAGACGACTCACGAAGTTACTCCAGTTTCGACTATCCTTTCTGCAACCATTTGTACGCCTCTTTGATATGCCTCGTCGTTTTCGTACACAGAGAAGTCGAATCCGTAAGCACCATTGATTTGCATGTCGATGAGGCCAGGGCTGAAATAACGAAATCAGTCACTTCTTCAAGTTCCGGTGGGCAAGTTGCAATAGATCCAGAGTTCTAGGTGTGTTTGGAGGGGCTCTACTGACCTGAGGATATTACCGCCTAGGTCAATAATCCTCGCGGGCCTTTCTTTGTTAACGTAGAACGTTTTCTGGCGCAAATGTAAGCATCGGCATCTTCTGTAGCATCGAAGAGCACGAACCTGAGAATCCAAGATAATACCGCGCTGTTCATCGATCCAGAGGTCCTTCTCAACGAGACTGCCATCCTCTTGTGGAAGCAAACAATTGGTAAAGCAGATAAGGCCGTTGGCGGAGGTCATCGTTGTTTCGGGGCACGAAAAGGTTTGGGTGCAGCTTCCATACTTGAGTCATGCTCTGCGATCTATTTGAGGCTCGGAGAGTCGAACCCAGACTTCCACTGGCGTGGTAGCACATGACGCTGACCGACCGCGTCCTTGTGCATTCCTGTCATCTGGCCCGCTTGTCCCGATAGTTGTCTGTTTGGGTATTCCGAAATCTTCACGTTCGTGGTACGTATCATTCCAGTCCTTGAGAAGAACCGATGGTTGTGGTCAGAACAGGAGATCGGGCCGGGCCGAGGGATCAACAAACGCCGCTTCCGTCCAGCGTCTACAACTCTGCCTCCTTCCACCAACTTAGATCTCTACCACAGTGCACTGAAAGCTGTGTTATCAATGACCTATCGAGAAGAAGACTCTTCAATCTCTTACGGCACGCATGACCGACTTGTCAGTTGCGAATGAGGGTGGCACACCCAGGGGCCAGGCATCTCGACAGTGTGGCATGGGTTTTTGAGGACTTCTCGCCGAACTGCTCCGTATGTGTTGTTCTTGCGAACGAGCCTGATCGATACTGCTTGTAGGATATTGTTATCTCAACCCGTATGGCTCGGAGCTTCATCTGCGGCATACGAGGAATGAACAGTGGTGGCGGAAGAGAGGGCTGTAGAGGTCTACACATCTGGATGTCTCCCACGTCGACATCACGTTCTCGATCGCCTGGCCGCTTCTATCAAGGTCCTGTTATGGCGTTGTAAATGCACAGGTCAGGATTTTCATCGATAACAGAGCTTTGAAACGATTCGGGCGATTTGAATTCCTGAGGCTCTGTGATGAAGGAATACTGCTAGAGTATTCGAATATATCAGCTGCATGCAGAGCGCCGCTAACAAGTTGGATCGCGCCTATGCCCTTACTGATCCGGGTGGGGTTCAGTAGGGATTCGAGACAGTCGAGTGCTTGTTCATCAGTCGATTCAAGTAAGACCGAATCCTTTTATCACGTCGTCTTGAACTCTGATGCTTGAAAACCGCTCATGCAGGTTTGCAGAGTGAGGAATGATCAACTTGACCGAGTTTACGGTTGGATGATAACTGCGGTTTCAACCACCCTACAGTTCGCCTCTCCGTTTCTAGGGTGTTGCTAGATACCACTTCCTACACTATGTTTCGTGAACGGATATCGAACTGGCCCCTCCTCAGCCTTCAAGCTTCAAGCACCATCCTTGCGCTGCGCGGAGCTTTAGAGGTCTAACGGTCAATCAAACCCCATATCAACCCCCGTCCGGAAGTAAAACACTATCACTACCCCCGACGACATTACCCGGCAAAGCATCTACACGCGGCTTCTTGCGGCCCGTTCATAGCTCACGACTCAGTTCGACTCACTCGACGTTCGCACTGGCAATCCATCGCCATGTCTTCGGCGAATCCTTTCGTACTTTGGCAGAACGCTACACACACTGCTCTGCACGGAGTCTTGCGTCTTGTAGGAAACCTTTTTCGAACCCCTCTTCCTCGATTTTTTCCTGTCCTTCCCATGCATCGTACAACTCACGGCTCCCGATTATTTACTTCGGGTTAATCCCAATTCCCAACCTTCGTCTTTGGCGGCTGCGGATAATCTATGCAACATCAATTGACCGAATTCAGGGCTGCAGTTGAACAATTCATGGTGCTGACGCAGAAGTTCATGCGACTATCAGCCAACGCCTCACTCTAGTCCTCGGCCACGACCACAATTTTGCGAACGACCGCCTCCGCCGTTAGGATACAAGTTGCCGTACCAACACTAGTGCTTTTATCTCCAACTGGCGATGCGCCTCCGCAACTACGGGATCAAAAAACTCAAAATACATCCACGCGTGGAGGTCTCCCCTGTCACGGAGGTATAATCTGATAAAAGGTCCATTTGCTCAGATTTGCTCGCGTGGCGAACCGCTTCTTGGGGCCTCGAATTCAGTTCTGGTCATGCAGGGTCATGCTCTTCTGTCGATTTTTCCTGTTCGCTGGAAGGTGCAACAACCTCTCTGGCTTTGCTTTATGGAGGATGGAGTAGAAATCCTTGTTAACACCTTATTTGGTGCATCGTTGTGCACTTGTGATATCTTTGATTTTATGCTGGCATCCTTATCTCCATCAATTCTTTAGAGGGGCTGGCTCATCTTATAGGAGTTCCAAGATCACGACCTTTCGTGCTTGTACACAAATCCATGTACACTTTCTAACGAGTATACCTGCATTCCTCTTCAAGACCTCTGTCAGAAATTTTCTCGGATTATCCTCAATGGGCCATCGCAAACCCATCCACGATTGTCAGGAAGTGGGAAGAATGTCCAGCCCAAAGGTCAAAACGCCATCGGAGTGTGTCCGATAGACAGCCATGGCAGATGTCCGACATATGTCACTCGATCACTCGGAGGCGCTCTTAATGGATCGAACTCGCGAAAAGAATCTTAGGAAGGTCCCTCAAAGCAGGTCTGACATCAGCGCACTGGGGGCGACCTCAAAACCGGTCTCAAAATTGCCTTGCCTCGCCTGAGTTTCGCCGTCCGGTCAACTTGAAGGCCGTGGACCGTGGCCGACATTGGAATGAACGTTGCAAGGGTGTTCAATTTTTTTCATGAACGTTCAAGCAAGTCCTTCCGAGTCGACGACTCGGAGTGCATGCGATTGTTGCTCTTCGGGAATCAAGCACGCAAACTGAGCAGCTCAACAGCCATACTTATCCACCTTATGCTGAGTCAAGAGTACCATCCAAATGATACCGAAACCTCCAAAAATTATGCATGCGCAATTCTCGACAAGCTTTCACGCTTTCTGAATTTCCTCGTCATCTCTTTTTACGCATTTACAATCACGTTGGTGCCGGGGTTTGTTTTCTTATCAGATAAGTATCTACGCGATCATATCTATGTAGGTGAGGGGTGCGCAGGGTCGGTGAAGCTCCTGAATTGCAGCCCGTTGCCCCCTGCTGCCCCTCGAGCTTCCAGAAACTGAGTCGGTGATGTGAACAGGCGCGACTGCGCATGCGCTCTCCTGACTGTGGGTCGTGATACCCAGGCGAACCGGGCGTGTGAAACGAAGGCGCGAACTCCCGAAGCGTGAGCCACGCTGCAGTGCGCACGGACGCATACGCGCCGACAAGCCTCGTTCAATCTTCTGCTCAGGGTCAATGACGATTTTTTGCTCCTGCTCGCGCGATATGTACTGAGGTCCCATGCCAAGGTGAGGCTAGGGACGAAAATTTCTTCAAGTCCCTAGAGAGAGATCCAAAAAATCCATAAATACAAGAGTAGACTAGGGGAAATTATATTGAACCCAAGGGACGCCGGCCATATATACTGATGCTAATGCCATACTTTCAGGGGAGGGAAACTAACAAGCCACTGGAGAGAGAGCTTTTTATCTACGTAGAGTAGTCTATAGAGTGGGTGCGTGGGTGGTGGGGAAAGTCGAATTCGAAGGGGGAAGGCGCATATACAAAGTCAAGGTGCTCGATCCAGTTGACCTATTCCAAATCCAATATATAGTAAACCAAGTTCGAAAAGACGTTGAATGCCAATGCAGCGAGCGGACGAGACGAGCGCGCGTGGCACAGCTCTCTCTGGAATGAACAACGCGAAGAAGAGGAGAATGGGGACTAGAGGAAAAGAAATAAACCGGGACGTAGGGGTATAGACGGACGGGGTAATAATATGCGGTGCGGTATGCGGGGTAAGAGGATGCCATACGCTGAATGAATGCGGGTGATGATGACGGGAGAGGGATGCGACGGTGTAATGTGCAGGTGGGTGGGCGATGGCAGTGTGTGTGGATGAGGGTGTGATGCGATTGTAGGTGGTTGGATTGTGTGGGTGGGTTTGGGTGTTAATACACGATGGGCGGTGTGGACAGCAATCGACAAAGCAGTAGAAATATAATACGGAACACTTAAAAGGAGACGGCAAACAACCCTAGAGTATGGCGAAGAAGAATAGGATAAGAGAAGGGAGAATAGAGGAAGGAGAACCGCGCGCGGAGGCGGCTCGGGGTAAGGTATGGCACACGCAAAGGGGGTTGGGTCGAAGAGAAAAGAAAGGTGAAGCAGAAAGAAGAGAAGAGTGGGGGTAGGAAGGAAGGAAGGAGGAAGGCATAAAGAGAAAATAAAAAAGAGAAAAAGGCCGTTTGTTCCCTGGGTCACTGAAGGCATAGAGAAGAAACTTTTTCCGCGGTCCTAGAGCTTTCCTGTTTTTCTTTTTTCTGTTTTCTTCGTACAACCATCTTGCGTCCGTCAATCCTATCCCATCCCATGTCCTGCACGTTCAGCAGATCTGGACCTCCCACTCGCCACCCTCGCCACCAGCCTGGGGCATGCTCTTGAGCGCGATCCTCACTCGCCTCTTCCCCGACATCGAGGTACTGTCCGGCACGCTGTACTCCGAGCCGCCAAATGGCGACCCAGCGTCCTCATACGCCGACAAGTCACCCATGGCGCCGTACATGCACATCGACCCATCCGCCGCAAACGGCATCCCGATAAAGTCGTTCGCGCTCGACGTCGTCACACCCAGGAACGGGTCCGACCCCGTCGACGAGAACGACGAGGTCCGTGATAGCGCCGACGAGTCCGAGTTCCACATTGACAACGACGAGGAGGAAGAGGGTGATGTTGAGGAGAACGAATGTGAATCCGAGTGCATGCCGTCCGGCGATCCCGAGCGCGAGTTGGCCGACGACGACGGGTGTATCCGCACCCGGATCTTGCCATCGTCCGAGGGGGAAGTATCGAAGGAGATGTCCAGATCGCCGAGACCGCCCAGCGCCGCATCCGTGCCCGTGAACTCCAGCTTCCGTGTTGTAGGCGCCCTATTGTGGCTGTCTTCATCAAGGTCCATCAGGGAGCTGCCAGTGTACTTTGACCAATCGTATTCGCCGGGGAGGAAGGAGCTGTAGTCGAAGGATGATGAGGACGAAGACGAGGCCGGGTAGGGGTTGGGGATGGAGAAGCTCGTCGGTGCTGCTGATTGCATGCGCATGGACAGCAGTGTCGGAAGTGCACAGAGCAAGACCTGAGGACGTATAGATAGTGAGCACGATAAAGGAAGATAGTGCAACGCTAAAGTTAGAACTGACCATCAATCCGAGGCTGGCGCCTGATTTGTGAGCTGATGGGACAGATGTGGATCGAGGGGGCGATGATAATAGGAATTGGGGCTCTAAGGCCTCCTGCTTCACCGCCGGGGAGTCTCTTGTTGCAGTGTTGGTCGAGGCCAGTTGTGCACTGAGGGTGCGTTCACGCTCTGCAGCAGCGGCGAGCTGGGCCTTGAGGATCTCGACCTCTGATAGTAGCTTCTCCGGGACGGCCGGCTGTGGGATAGTTGCACTTCCGTTTTGGGTAAGAGCGAGAAGCCGGGCGTTTTCCTGCTCGAGCTCGGCGACGCGTCTGTAGGAAGGCGAAAAAGAGACGTAAGGAAGCTGAGGCAAACGGATGGGAAGGACAGGAGGCATGATTGGACGTACATTTCCATGCACTCAAACTCCTCGCGCTTGCGCTGCCTGCTGAGGAAGGCAGCTGCACG